CTATACTTTTTGCGTGAAGCGTGAAGGGCTTATTTTACTTAGCCGTGAAACGTGATCGATGATTTTCTTAATCCGTGACTCGTGAAAAGGCAAAATATTTTTACGTGAAAGCATATTGTGAAGAGGTATAGGGGGCCCTCTATGCGCAGTTCTATTGTTGATTATTGAACAGTCCTGTTACCTTATATGGTGATGAGATTTTTATTGCCCAAACGACACTATAGCAACGTCAATCGACCTGCCTAGAAGCGTTATCACACAACTGTTGCAACGACCGCGGTAACCTGAACTTGCAGTACGTAATGCTAATATTTAAACCAGAGAAGTGAAAGAACATCTGAAAATTCCTACCTATAGATACTGTATAGTCCGTTGTAAATTTGATACAATTAATTGCTATTGTGGACGATTCGAATTTCGAAAAATTGGATTTACTCATATTTACGCCAAGTAAATGAATAGAAAATATTATATTCATTCAAATTTGCTGAAAAGTAAACAAGGGGAAGACCTTATTTGCTCTTTTTTGCCAAAATTATTTAAACACGGTCTTCCCCTTGTTTACTTTGCAGCAAATTTGAGTGAATATAATATTTGCTATTTATTTACTTGGCGTAAATATGAGTAAATCCAATTTTTCGTCCAGCGCGCACGCGCGCGTTTTATGAACACTCGGAAAATACTCTATGTGATATATGCATGTATATCATAAATTTAGAGCCTACATACTGACGTAACTGGACACGATTATGGTTACATCATATAATAGATTCCTGTTTCAGAAAAATTGTCACTGCGTGTTGAATGTTTAGTTACGTTCCTCAAATTTGGTACATGCAATGACAACTAACTGTAGAAGCCACTGTTTTGGCCAAAATTCACCACCTTCTAACCCGTAGTCGCAAAACTAATTCTGAATTTGACTTTTTTCAGAATTCATAACGCTCATTGTGTGACTTGTCAGATTATAAATTTAGAATACTTTAGCTTGTTTTTAGCTTGTTTTTATTAAAACTTGCCATTTCGTTGCTGTTGTTATTGTAACAAATAGTGCTTCCTTATATTGTGCTTTCATTTTTCAAAATGAAATCTAGCTAAATATAATTCTAGTAAAATGTTTGGGGGGGGGCGATTGCCCCCCCCCTCGCCCCCTAGTTCCCGCCTCTTATAACCACCATTTAGCTATACTATTACAACCAGGAACACAAATTTCTCGAGTCCCTAAAGAATTATAGAGGCCAATCCAATCACCAAGCGATTATTAATTATACTCAAAGTCTCGCTTAAACATTTGATGCGCGCCAACCACCAAAACTGAAAACTTGTTCGCCAACCTCGACGTGATTGTGCGCCAGCAATTCAAAACTCACGCCGAAGATCTTCCGCAAAACGTGCATGGGAATGCACTCTGGTATTTATGAAACAAAAAACCCTTCGACTTTCCCTTCCATGTCGTCCATATTAATATACTTTCAAAGCCTAATTCAAAGCGAGGCTAGCGACTCGCAACTCGCAACTCGCAGCTCGCAACTCGCAACTCGCAGCTCGCAACTCGCAACTCGCAACTCGCAGCTCGCAAAATAGCCGACCCCCAACGACTGCAGTCGCACGAAAAAAGATTCACGCTGAATATTTTTGGAGTGTCGGTGGCATGCAGTTATACCAATAATAGAAATCAAATCAATTAGTTAAAAACAATTTACAATGAACTTTCAATGGATTCCGAGCAGGCCGGCTGGTTAACACAAAAACGGTTATATATTTAAGTTTTCAAATTGTCGAGCAAATTGTAGTTGTTTTTTTCAAATTGTAGTTGTTTTAAATGCATGCATGGTCAATTTTGGGCTATATGATTATTGAAAAATAGTAGCCAAGCAATGTCAGAATATTCTTACTGTGAAAATGTTTATCCTACCTTCGTATTATGAAGTAAAATATCCCATTTCATACCAAAATTTTCGTATTTGGAATATTCCCACATTCGATCAGCTCGATTCCTTTTCAAATTTTTATTTCGCTCATAATGAATCTTTAAAGCCCTTTTTCCTTCATCAGATATACAGAAAATGAATCCAACAATGTCTTCAAACCAATAAACCATCAAGATGTTTATTAGGAATGCAGAAAACATTTCTTACTTTAGTTTTTCAGCTCTTTTTTGCATAAACATTCCAATTCCATTTTTATTGACATATAAATTAATGTATACGGGGGGGTACGCGCATCACACAAAGATCAGGGGCGCTATCTCCGTTTCACCGCCCGTGTTTTATAGCGCCCTGATAGTACTAAGTTTCCGAACGTTCAATATCAGAGCGACTTTTGTAATTACGATTTTATTAAACTTTATAAACTGGCTAGTCATATACAAACTTAGAAACCGAAATATGCAATGAATAAATTCAGTATTTTATATAGGCTGAATTCTGTAGTCTTCAATTAGTATTTATAAATCTATTATCTACACCCGCAGTAATGTACACTGTAACTTTAAAACTTTGTCTTGACGTCTTTGTCCAGTATATTACCCGTGTTACAGCTATGGTTACAGTAACACCTGCAAACGCTTGTAAAGTAATCAAAACATTGCGAAATATTTTAGGTGATATTGTTCGATTTTTCTACACTGTCTGTTCAAAACAATATAGCTCGACAAATTCTAACAGTTTTACAATTGTTCCATATTGTAAATTTGTAGACTGGTATATCGGTATAACAAATATATCTCTCAGCTCTCGCATATATAATCGGTTTAAGATATGAATTCGTACAAATGAATATATAAAATGTTCAAGATTTAATAAATGTTTTGAAACGTTTAACGACTCAAGGTCAAAGCCAAAGGTCAAGCCCCACAATTTTCGTGGGTAAAGCTGTGATTGGCTAATTTTGAGGAAAGGAATTCTTGGCCAAAGTAAGCATACCTTACGTGAGGGCTCAGCCCGCTAAGTAGGTATGCGTAGGAGACTAGCTCCGGCCCCGCAATTTCGCTAAACAGCTCGTGGTATCAAGTTTACCCATAGTGTAGACTAATGAAAAAAATACTCGAACTGTGTAAACCAGGGGGTGTTTCTACTCTTGAGAGATGTTAATTAGTGAAATCAGTGAAGAATTTTCGATATGTTGAGAAAACATCAACGGAGTGTAATGAAGACTCGTATTTGGCAATTTTACATCTCTCAAGAGTAGAATTGCATTGCAAGTTGCAAGAAAAATTGCACCGTGTAACATGGCCTTTAATTATAACTATTCATTTTTCCCTAAAAATCAGCCTTTCGCATGCTTAATTATGCCTTTATCTAATTTGCATATTGCTGACATATGCAAATTCGGCAAAAGCATTAATTAAGCATGCAAAAGGCTGATTTTTTAGGAAAAAAGTAAGTTAGCGTGAATAGTTAAAGTGCATAAACTGAAGCAAATTGTCTGATCGAAATTTCGTGCAGCAATTAAACACCCAACACATTTTTCATCCATTAACTCAAAATACGATTAAAGCTTTTAAATCTCGTGCGCAAGCCACTTTAGCATGTTGGAAAAGACCCCCCCCCCTGGTTTACAAAATTTGAGTTCGAGCAATTTTTTTCATTATTCTACATTATAAGTACTCAAAGAAGCTATATATATATCAAAAACTGGATACTAATAGCTGTTTTACGAAATTGAGAGCAATTTATACACCCTGTATAATTTAGACCCCGTTTACACGGTACTGGACGAATTTGGAACCGGGCTAAAATTCGTCCATTTCGGCCTTCCGGCACGAGAACCACGAAATCGGACAAATTTGAGACCCCCTAACAGGACGTCTGATTCGTGTGTAAACAGGCGAAAAAGGACGAATTTCAGCCCGGTCCCAAATTCGTCCGGTTATACTTGCATGACTAAGACAAAGTACTGTGAATATCTTTAATGCAGCCATACATCGGCGCTAATAAAACACATTTGATTTAATTCCCTCTCCCGGCGTGGATTATACCAAAAACCAGCGTTCGAAATGTTTTTCTATAGTTCGTCAAACGCCAGGCATACATGGGGGGATTAATTGAAAAGTTCACAAGAAATAACGTCCGAAGCCAAATGTGGTATGCATCTCTCTCTGAAACGTCCGAATGTTCGTTGGCCAAGTACTCAGTCTTTCCAGTCAAAGATTCATAGATGGTGATCGGAGCCAACGTTGCTGTTGTAATGAATGAGACCAGCAGCATTGTTGTCAACAAACGTTTTTCATTCACCAGACGTGCACTTTGGGTTCGGCACGGAGCAGTCGACGCCGAAATTCCTGTGACACCCTTTAAATATCTTGAATTACTTTTCAAAACGTATGCCGCCTTAGCGTACAAAGTTGCCGTACCGAACCACATACAAATAGCTACAATGCTCCTTATATAGATTGCCAAATTTACCAACGACATTTCAAATATCACATTTCCAGTGCACACCAACAACTGCAAAAGAATTACAGAGAGCGTAACTTTTCCAGTAATCAGGAGTCTATATTTGAACGGATGAACGCAACTCGTGTATCGGTCACAAGCCATCGTGAAAATGCTAGTGGCAGAAATGTAAGGTGGTAAATTAAAAAAAGGATACGTTTCATATCGAATTGCGCATGGACGCCAATAAAGAAGCACAAATGACGAGCAACATGTCAGAATATCCGCGACTCCAAGATTCATAATCAAATAAGATGAAGGATTTCGAAAACATTTCAAAGGATTCATTATCATTCCAGTAAGGAGGAAGATATTTGAAAATACTCCAATCGATGTGAGGACATAGCGAGGTACAATATGGTACAGTGGGAGAGAGTTCGAACCTGAATGGCACATTGGCACAGTCGTATTCGACATTTTTTTTTTATCTCGGTGTTATCGTCGTTTTATGTTTAGTTTGCTGAAAGAATTGATTAATAGAATGAATATGATAACGCAAAGCAATATTTTATTACTACAGACTCATATAAATATAACTGTTTAATTAAAATTTTAATTGCACCTTTTCGTGATACCGTCAGTACAGTAATTAATTAAAGAACGTAAATGAAAAAACTCCTCAGTCAGAATATTTACTGTATGTTGAGTAATCAACATCAGACGCTCTCTATTAAATTGAGCGTTAGTCTCTGGGGCTGTTGCATGAGCGATCTGTAAATTAATTAAGGTGGCTCCATACACTTTTCATCATCAGGAGACTGGTACCTAATCTTCAGTTTTCGCGCGAAAATATTAAAATATATGCAAAAATAAATACAACTTTTTCCTCGACTTTTTCAGTCTAAAATCCGAACCACAAGTCATGTTTATTTTGATGTTTTGAGTCTTCCTTGTTCTCATTTGTTCTCAAAAAACAAACTTCGTCCTG